TTTTTCTTGTTTTCGCGTTGTTGCAGCGATTTCGCTGTACCTTGTAGGCCTTGTAGTCTTAATCAGAGAGGAATAACACGAATTTGTTCCATAGTCTGCTTCGTCGTCGGGCCAGTTTGTCGTACTCTTTGTAGAACCAATGTGGTTTGACGGGCCCAAATTTCCGAAATTTGAGGGGTACAAAACGGGCGAACAACGATTTCGCTCCCTCTTTAATGATAGTCCAACTGGTTTTAATAGACGAATCCTGTGGTAAAAACCAGTCTATCTGGCTCGCTGCTCGAATTAGGTCATTAAAGTCCGCCTTCCAACAGTTGAAGGCCGACTCCAGTGGGGGCAAATAAGGCGGCGGTAGTTCCAAGCTGCCTATGATTATCGAGTGGTCGCCCGCTCCCAGAGGCTCTAAGACTTGAATGTTGTGCACACGCTGCTCACAGCTAGTTAAAAGCTGGTCTAAGCACGATGGAGAGGCGCGCGCAGTAATGCGTGTCGATTGGTTGGTGTGCTGTTTGTCCCCGGTTTCGAAAAGAAACTCCGTAAACTTCCTCTCGACTTCACAGTGGCCGGGGAGAAGTTCAGCCTCAGGCCACTGTATTCGAGGCAAGTTGAAATCGCCCATGAGTAGGAACAACTGACGACTCATGTGGTTGCGGACATGCGGCAACCGGTAAAAACAGCGGCTCAGTGGACTGCGATATTCCACGCCCACGAGCAACTCGCAGCGTCTGAGGTGAATCGAACACCATAACTGCTCACACAGACCATCAGCGCTTTGGTAGGCGCTCACTAGTCTCCCACACAAGGAAGAGTCCATGTAAAGTAGAACGCCACCGCGATTATTTGATGGTCTATCACAGCGGAAACATGAGTAGCCGGCCGTTTCCACTTCTTGGGTGGTTACCTCGGAGGTTAAACATGTCACAGCAAAGCCTAATGCGTCTGGTCGCTGAGAGCTTACAAAGTAGTACAGCACATCGCGCTTGTTCATCAGACTGCACACGTTAGTAAGGGCTGCGCGTAGACCGCGGTAGGAACTGCTGGGCGCGACTGAGGCATCAGAAACCTGTTGATCCGGATTCGTGGAGGAATCCGGGCTACTACCCGCAAACTTACAATACGGAGTTTTGTTTCTCCATCCTCCGTGCGTCGCTTTAGTTCAATCATAGCAGACTTGAGTTTCTCTCTATCTGCACGTGGATCTTCAACCTATTAAGACGGGAGAATAGTAACCTGGGACTTGTCTCTTCGACAAAAGTCACCCTCATAGGTCGACTTTTGCCCTACGTTCTCTTTCCTAGACGGGAGATCTGCTGCACTTTGAGCCCGCCCTCATTGACGTCGAGTAGTCCATCAATAAAACATTGCAAAACGACGTCGTGTTCATAGCGCACCTGAGGATGGAATCACCTGATTCCGGTGCGTGAAAAACCGCGAAGCTACGGCGCCTCAGGTCGCTAGACATTGCTCTTGGTTTCTTTGGTGTTTGCACTTTCCATTCGTTATCGTCAATTTGCTTATTGCAAATTGGAGCTTTACTGTCTACAGAACACATTGTAGGCCTTGAGGAAGAGCCTGACGGAACGTTAGTCCCTTGCTTCTGGGTTGGATGCGATGTTGTACTAAGCGCTGGCTGCTTCCCTGGCTGTGGTGTAGTACAAGTCGAGCTGGGCATTTTAGAGCACTTCGTTGTACTGATCCGTGTTCTAGATTCGTCGGTTCTATTCTGCCCAAGTTTAGACTGGCACTGTTTACAAATGGTCTTCAAAAATTCGTTCTGAATCCCCTGAATTACACGAAATTGGTCTACAGTCAGACCAACGCACGAAATATGAAGTTTTACACTGCAGAGACTGCATGTAATCGCATTTGCTCGATATGCAACGACTTTGCAGTAAAAACCACAAGGTGACTGCTTCGCCATTTTAAAAATAGGTACTGATCGATACGAGAAAATCAGTGTAATGAGGAGGTACAGAAGTTATAATAAATTATTCCAGGTAGTTATGCCGTAAAACGCCGAATGATTAAATAGAGTAAACAACGCCAACTAGAGGACAAAACTGCTATAACAATGAGAAGAACGAGATAAACTAGACTTGATAGGACACCAGCGAGATACCACCAGGATCGACGATAGGCTAAACGGACAAAAACGAGAAAATTACTGCAAAATGTGTTCCAAAATACCACTGGATAATTCAGAAGCACAAATCATAAAGAATTATACAACTTATGACAACAAATATCGATATATGACACAATGAACTTGAACAAACTGGCCTGGGGGCGGAGCGATTCATTTCAAACCGGACGATGATGATGATGATATAATGATGATGAGGATGATGGGGATGATGAGGATCATGATGATGATGTTGATGATTATGAAGATGATTGTGATGAGGATGAGGATGATGATGCTGATGATGATGGTAATGATAATGTCGATGATGATGATGATGATGATGAGGATGCTGAGGATGATGATGATAAGGATAATGTTGATGATGATGATGAAGGTGATGATGCTGATGATGTTGATATGATGATGATGCTGATGATGATGATGGGGAGGAGGAGGAGGATCATGCTGATGATAAGTATACTGATAATGACGATGACGATGCCGATGCTGTTTATGACAAGGATGGGGATTATTGGGAAATAAAGCAATGCGGTATTATGGGCAAGGAGCGCTGCTCGTAAGTTCCAACAAATGAAAACAATTTAGTGAAGAGAAAAGAGATCAAATAAATCGAGTTTTTGTGAAGTTTCAAGATGTTCGCCTTGAGACATGCATGATTGGTACTTCGTTCCACAACATACACGCTGGTAGGAAGATTAAAATTTGACAGCTTTCCAGCCAGATAAATTGTCCGTTTTATTTGATGACCCCATATGTTTGTCTTGTGGTTCAGTTCCAAAAGCATACAGAAAGCATTATCTGGGTTCCATATGATCTGCAAAGCCGGTATAAGGTCCCACTGCAAACACCGATATCAACTGCTGCGAACTCTATTGACTTTAATCAAAGCTGGCAGTGCTTTCTTTGCTGCCATTCGCCCAGAAGTCGCAGGGACAACAGTACTTTGTTTCTGCCATAGGTGCCGCGCCTAAATGGTGTACTCCCCGTGCTCTTACGTATAGTCGTTAAGCAAATACAGCAAGTTTGCGAACACAACCGAATAATGCTATTGTCTTGCTTAGCAGTATGCAACACCCCCTTCCGATTGCTTCGAGTAGCGGAGATCGACCTGAACTCGCATAATTTGGTCACGTTCCTGAAAGGCTTTCTGCAACATGTCGTATCAAAGCGTGTACACACTCACCCATTGATTTCCCTGGTGAATCACTCTACACCTGGTCCTGTTAAACTGAAGTTGGTTTTTGTTGACCCTGCATGAAAGTAATTTAGGTCGTATTGCAAGAATGCGTGATTTCAGCGCCAAATATCACTCACCATATATTTACTTCATTTGTGCAAATCACGTAAGCATAGACAGTAACTCATCTCAAATCATTGAGAGCATGCCAGCAATGAGTCCTGTGGCAGTCAGCAATTCAAATCAGTATATTTGGTGAGGGATTTCTTAGCACGCTCGAAGAACCTCTGTTGGCAAAGAAATCTGGTTATCCACCCAAGAGCAGGATCCCGACGCCATAGCTCTGTAGCCTGTGTAGTAGGATTCAATGCAGAGGTCGAAATCTTTGAACAGTTCCATGTAGAATGGTTCGGGTTCTGGCACAAACACTGACCGCTTCTGACCAACTACATCTGGATGATGATGACGATGGTGATTACGATGTTGCTGATGATTGCAAAGTCCAAAATAACTAAGATTTCTCAGCTGGATGGAATACTCCCCATTGACGGTTCAGTGCTCCTATTCCCAACTAGTTCCAAATTCCGCATTTATAACACGCAGAGCGCGCCTTGGATAACTACTTTAACAAACGAGTGTCATTATCCATTAATGTCTGTTGCAAGCACTTCGTCCTAAGTCTATAATTTTAGCAGTAAGCTAGCAATAATATTGGTATTACGGTGAGCAGTTTCCATCCGTTGCATACCTAGCCGTTAGTTCTCTCCGATACACGGTTTAAGTTTTTAGTACCTGCGTTCCACGATATTACTACAAATACGTTACCCGCAACTGTTTCCTGCTAAGATTTTGCGTGTAGTCTAGGTTTATAACTCGAATTAGCATTATTTAAATAAATTTGGTGTGACGTAATTAGACGTGGCCTACCCATAACTTTACAATAATTATGATGATTATGATAATGTCACTTTACTAGTAGAGCCATTTACCAGTATTCCACTCTTCGTTCATTTTGCTTTAGCCTTTTAAATTTCAATCTGAATACTTTTTCGTTTCCCTTATGATTATTGCGTTCTGCCTAACGTTGTCATGAGGAATTGAATGCTTTATTCTGACGTTGACAACGCAGTCAAACTCAGCCTAGAAGGACAGCATCGGCATGCGTCTTTTTCTTATTTTGCAAGATAATATGTCCTCCGGATGTAGGATAAGCAAAAATGCTACGTTAAAGCTGCGTAAACGGCAAGAAATGAAAATGTTATGATGTTTGTCCATCTTTGGTTACCCTTTTATTTTTCAGGCAAGCGGAACTGTTTAAGTCAAAGTAAGGCGGTGTGCGAGAAGTAGGGAGCGCCATATTACCGAAGACTGCCAAAGGAAAGCTTCATTATACGTGAGAATACTGATGGAAGGTTGAATGTCTTTCAAATAAGCACGTTTGCTTTTAATTACGAAAATCTTGCCACAGAAAACCAGATGGCGCTGTACAATAATATAAACCAAATAAGTATTCGTTTTTTAACATGATATGTCCCATCTCGAACTTTGCTCTTGCAATTAACATTTTGCCATCGATCAACCGATTGTTACTAAATGAAGCTTATGTTAAATAACGTGCTGTTATCAATTGGTAAGAATGCTAGTGAACACATGTAGGTTTTCCTATGCAAAGCTTACCTAGGATGTGGCATCTGCCCCAGACAATTTGCAACATTTTCACCCGTCACACTCCAAATGCGTACAAAGCCGTCTTTCGAGCCTGATACCAAGTGAGCTTCACTCATTCGTAAGGCGGTCACTTCCCCCACATGGCCACTCATCGTCTAAGAATACAAAGTAAAATTGGACGGTAATCAAACTGTTAACGTCCAATACTGTCCTCAAATTATCCAGTCAAAAGGAAGGAAACTTTTATGTGACCAGTTGACTGCATCAGGCTTGATGTAATTAAGGCATCAATACTCCGTTTTTCAAAATTTAATACTTCAAGGTAACCGTCTATTTCACACAAGGAAAATAGAAGCCGCCGCTACTAATACAACTGCATTCGGCGCAACGTTATCGCACTCCTAATTTTTGTCCCTGAATATTTTAGACTCAAAGACATCCACCAACGCAAATCCATACTTGCAGACACTCACCTACGGGGTCCCATGTTGCTACTATGATATGAAACTCATGCACTAAGCTAGTAACTGTTTGTTGAAGCACGTTGAAAATGATGGATTAATTGAACTAAATGGTTTGCTTTTTATTCGTTCGACCAACAATTCTAGTGCAATAGAAGATGGTGTGTAAGTTGTGTGAAACTTGTGTCGTTTTCATTATTAAAAATAAACGTGCTCCGATGAAATTCTGCTGCAAAGCCTTGTGCTTGAAATGTTAACATTTTGTAATCCAGAATGTCACGAATTTAACAGGTCCCAGAAACTCACCGAACTTTACAATATGAGAGTGCCTTCCATAATATATTGGATTAAATTCAAAATTATTTACTAAAGAAATAAGCTTGGGCAGTTAATCGGAGTAAGCGAATTAATATCCCCAACTTAACGAATCATATCACAAAAATATTGCAAACCCAAGTAAAAGTTTTGTTGACAGTCTTATACCAGGGCCGCTTACTAAACCTTACCATAACGCCTTTTGGGATTATCTGCAAGGAAAAATTCTTTCAAAATGGGAACTATAACATTACTGCGAATGTTATATTCTGATAACAAAGAAGGGAAAATTTAGACCGCATTTATGAAAGGACTCAAGATATCATGAATATACTCCAGAATACTTTAAGCATATCTTTATTAGCACGAGTTCTTAATGACGGTATAACAGTTTGGCACTAAAATATATGGTTCATAAATTTTGCGTGATTGAACTTGAATGTTGATTGTTTTGAAAGGCATTGTTTATGACCCCGAACATCATAACCAGCACATTTTACACGCCATTTACAATGTTTTTCTCTATTTCAAAAATCAAATCTATATATCTGTTGCTCATTGTTGTAATGTCCTCACATGAATCAACAACCCTGTGTAGGCCACTACCAAGATTCAACTGTCCAGACAAACGGAACCTCATTTTGTACCTCGCATCAATCAGAGACATTCACAAATAGGCACATTTTAGCCCATCGCCTTTTCAACAGCATCCCCTCGAACACTGTTCTCACCATTGCAGATCAAATATCTACTCTGTGTAATCGATTTGGGGCTATGAACGCAGAAACGCAACAGGTAGGCCTACAGTCGTTGATTCTTGTTTGCCAGCAACCACCACATCCCCTTTTATATTTCCCCTTTGCCCTGGTATCCCAAAACCGTACCGTCTCCTACCGCAGCAGAGCTTTCGGACCTGGGCTGAGATTATAGCCGACTTCTACTGTTGAGAAAGTTTCTCGTCATTGCGCTTTTAACAGCATTCGACAGCTTTTCTTTCTTTTTCCGACTATCAGCCACACTTTTCTTTCGACGCCTTTCAGCTATACATATGTATTTTAAACATACTTCCATTCTATATGATAAAGATTGATATCGTTATGTTCCGTGTTTGTGATACGTCCTTTACCGTCATAATGGCTTTCGTATATCGTCTAGCAGACTACTAGTCAATGTTTTCTCGGCTTTCACATCAACGGTGGCTCAGGAATCAGCTTGCCGTGGCACAGTTTGTCTCGAATTGATGGTGTTGCAATAACCCATCTATTATTTTTGTAATCCCAAATGTTATTTATGGAAATCCCTTGGTTTCTTCCCGACTTTAGCTATCAGGTGAGCTAACGTTGGCCGAACGGCAGCAAGGAGCGGAAAGCTTAGACTGGCCCTCACAATAATCACCAAAGCTCTGGATTACTTTAGAAAGCACCCGTTCTTATTCATAATCGCAGAAGTTTCAAGCTTCTAACATCCGCATCGCAACTTAGCCGATGCAGTGCTTGAATATGGCTGAACGGATTGATCTCAGAAATTCATTTAATTCAGGCAGCGTTGCGAACTCCATGCAGTTCGTTCTCCGCGCCCGTCAAGTATCCGGCAACATGTTTCTTGTCCGTTTAGTGAATATAGCAATGAGACCAACGCTTGTTCATCAAATGCAAGCTAGGAAAGTTACGTCAATGACCCAGACGCTATACTGTAATGGCTTACCGTGATACAAAAACCAAATCTGGACCTCAACTTAGACTTCACTCTCCAAGCACAGTATCCATTTTATATATTGTAGTGAATTGAAAATACACAGTATTTTATTACATTGCATTTTACTTTGTTTGAACCTTCACTACATCATTTTATTTTACTGACGGCAGTTCTTTCTTTCTCAAAATGTTTTCGTGAGTCCCATGCTTTACCGTTCTTTGCCCTTGTTTATTTGCTTTCTACTTTTGTCGCCTGTGTAATATAAATTGAGTTCAGTTGCTTACAAACTCTCTTCTGTCTTGTAGTTGACACTTCTCTTACGTGTCATGGTTACCGAATAGTATCCCAGGCGCCACCCAACAATTGGTGATCCCGTTCCAGAGCATGCCACCCGCCCTTTTGAACTTCATCCTAATGAGCTCATTCCAGTGATTTGTGATCCATTACTTGTGAGCGTTATGTTTCCTCAACTACCATATTTTTATTTGCTTTTTCAATGAATGATCTTCAAATGTGGTTAATGCCGTAGCGTTAGCCTCTCCAGTTTTTTTGGAGGATGATCCTTCTTTAAGCATTTTGCACCTAGAATCGAGTTTCGAGCTTCCTGTGTTTTCTTCTAATTTTGCCATGTATATCACACCTTCCTTAGAGTATGCGTATCCTCGCTGATGGGTGCCATGGTATTTTGTTCCCCCTTGTAAGGAAATACGAGGATCCTAAACAGGCTAGTATTCAGTGAATCATACAATCTCTCAAGGTCCGCCTGCAGTAACTATTCAATGAGCTGCAAGTAGAAGATGGGATGCACTCAGCATTGTCTCGAGGAATGCAACACCTCATTGGCATGTTTAACAGGGACGTAGAGATACTCCGCGAGCTGTGGATGCCACGCCTCCTTGAAAGCACGCAGGCCATCCTTGCAGTGGCAAGTGACTTGCCATTCATAACAACTGCAGATCTAGCAGACCGCGTTTTCGAAGGACACCAACCAGAGACTAAAACATGAAGACCTAAGCAGATTACAGCTGGCGCTACCTTTGCGGCTGGCGCAAATTGTGGGCTGTCGGCGATGCACACCTTTTCATCCTAGATAGCGTCGCTTCAGTGCCATATCGATAAACTCACTTTAAACCGTAAGAACAGCGGCCACTCTAGATCATCTCCCAGTCGCATAAAGCCTAATACCCAAGGTTACTGCTTTCTCTCTCGCCTTTTGTTATTAAAGCCCGTAAACATGTACAGGCTTGTAGCTTCTGCGCTGTAGTCGGTCCGCCACGCCGGCTGGTAATGGCTACGGACGAGGTTGGCACAACTCCAAGTTCTCTTATCTACATTAACTATTATGATTCCGAGAACCGGTACTTAGTTGATACCGGGGCGGAAGTCAACGTCATTCACCCTGTGCCAGTTGAGCCCACCGCTTCGTTGTCGACGCGTATAAGTGCCGCCAATGGAAAATCAATAGCCACTTATGGTTACCGGTCACTTATCGTAGACGTGGACTTCAGTGTACGTTCCAATGGGTAATCACCTTTGCTTTAGTCCCCTTTGCCATCATCGGTATTGGATTTCTCAGTAAGTTAGATCTTTGGTTGATGAGAAACAACAAACAAAAACAATGAATTTATACGGCTTAAGAAGCCTTGGTTTAAAGTCGCGTTGGACAGTTGATGGGGATATAGAAATAACAATAAAGATGACATTAATAATAGTCAAACAGTTAGTACCTTAAATATAAAAATAAGGACTTATCGTTTGCTCCACCGTAGTCCTGCAATCCGATTAGATTTGCAGCACCTGCAGTTAAGATCAAATAATTCCATCGTATACACCAGGTGTAGGATGGAGACGTAGTGCTAAGCAACATAGTGTAAGTGGATGGGTGTGCCATCCAACCGTCCTTTAAATACTGCTAGTTTTGGCGCAAAGACAACTGATTCTGGGAGAGCATTTCACGGATGAGAGAAACGAATGGCGAAGAAATTTCTGATGCACTCCAGACGGCTATACTGTACAGCGGGATTCAATGAGTGACCCCTCAGGTTTGAATTGCTGTTGAGTTGCGGTTAATAGTAGCACGCATGATGTGGGTCTCGCAGAATCAATTATTTCATAATCAAGTCACTTGGTAGTCTGCGATATATTCCACTGAATACCCCAATCGTTGCAGCGTCTCCTGGAATGAAAGATTGCGCATTCCAATTACCTTCTTAGATGCCCGACTTTGTGGCTGCTCCAGTGCATTAAGGTCGTGTTTCAGCCATGGATGCCAGGCTTGAATGGCGGATGCGACATGGGGGCGAACATACTCACTGAGCATTTGTCGAAATATGGAGTTGCTTATTTGTCCAAACGCTCGTCGCAACAGCCCGACGTTTTGGTTCACAGCCTTCAAGGCCTTTTCGGATTGCGTGGAGCAACTCAAGTTATCTTTGACCAGGACACCTAAGTCGCGTTCGAGATTTACTTGTTGTAGTATATTCGTTCGGAGCCTGTATGAGTGGCTGCTCTGATGTCTGATGGAAAGTACCTTGCAATTACTGACGTTGAAATGCAATAAGTGTTGGGTTGACCATTGATACACCCTATCTGCTTCACTCTGAAGCACATGTTAGTCGGCGTTCGACTGGATCCTGCGCCGAATCTTGACAGCGTCGGCAAACATTATAAGTTTAAAGCGATTG